AGAATCTCAAAATGCCATGGACTATAGGTAATCGACTACGCTGAGCATAGTAGCAACATTTGTTTTTGTGTAGAAATGAATATAACTTCGCCAGAGGCATGGTTGTGAAAAACCGGTTTTTCCCCTGTTACTAGCAAAAATTAAAATCCTTATATCTCCCTCAAATCTCATGCTAACTCAAGGAAATTTTCAGAAAACGCTCAGGACAGCTCATAAAACATAATCGAAGACGAAAAAGGTGAGTGTGAGCTGGGCATTGGCTTAAGATTTTCCAGAAATCTTCTGAAAAACCTCAGAGCATCAGTGTTCTGCTGGATCACTTTTTCGGCGTAGTCAACAACATATGGCACCTTTTAAGCCTTTCCTGGAAATTTCCTTGAGTTAGCATGAGATTTGAGGGAGATATAAGGATTTTAATTTTTGCTAGTAACAGGGGAAAAATCGGTTTTTCACAACCATGCCTCTGGCGAAGTTATATTCATTTCTACACAAAAACAAATGTTGCTACTATGCTCAGCGTAGTCGATTACCTATAGTCCATGGCATTTTGAGATTCTCAGAGATGTCTGCTCGGAGATAGACGCGTGCTCGGGGAAAGCTAATCCTGCCCGGACGACGATAGCTAGAGAGCCGGGACTTGCATAATTTTGTAGAGTAACGTCCGAACTATCTACGCATGCAAAACAATTACTAACATTGTATATTAGTTTTCTGAGAACGGAGCTGGTTTTCCAAAGATCCTCTGAAAACCCGATCTCTAGAATTTTTTCAAAAGTTGCTTCCGCTTGTGAAAAGTTCTGCTCAAGTCTTGGCTATTGAACAGCGAAAATCGCAGGTCTCTATCTCATTCCTATCAAAAGTTATCCAAAAATGCCCACGGGTCTTGTATTTTGGGATGGATAGTAGGTCTATACTCCACAGACATTTGAACATCAACAAAAAGTATTAACCATACACTTTTAGTTGTTCACTCATATCCATCCTGACATTGAACAACCTTATAAAAATCGTAGATCATTCCATTTCAGTATTAAAAATTATTCGTTCGCTCGTAGTCCCTTCAACCAAACTTTAAAAATATTCAAAAAATCTTTAGAGTCAAATCATATGGAGTATGAAGAAACAGAAAAACAAGTTATAAAAATTGACAAAAGTTCGTCAAATAAAAAATTAAAGTGTGAGAATAAATTGATCTCGGATATTATCATAAAAACATTCTTTTTATATATATATTTTGTATAACCGACCCATAGCAATGAGAGACTAGCTTATGCTATAAGTTTTAAATTGTTTTATGAAATATTTTTTTACAAGATGAAAAACTTAATCATTTTGTTAAAGGAAAATATTACATACAGAGAGAAAATTAGTGATGAGATAACAAAGAACCGGTTTAAGAATGGAAGAAGAAAGAATAACTCGATGCGTATATATCACGGTGATAAACCTTCATAGGTTTCTCTATGAAGTGATGGAAGTGTTTTATAAATATCTGGCTCATTTATTTTGATATAACTAATTGCTGATAAATGCAACTGATTCACCTCATGGATACTTGGAATTAACTGCAAGATTTTCATAAACATTCTTGAGTCGTCTAAAACGAAAGATAATTAGTAGAAAAAACACATCAAACAACATTACAAGTTGAACATACCAGAATGAGTTCGTCTCACATGTCTATATAAAACATGCATTAACTTTGCTTCGATACTGGCTATTTTCTCTTTTTCGCATAAATCTGTTCGTTCTACATTATGAAAAGAGTTTTGAATAGTAAAACAAGATAGAAAGAAACTAGATCGATTTTACCGGGATTTAATAATAATAGTGCATTAAATAAAGCAATATCTCCATCTGTCCATCGACATTCACTGGCTTTGATTCCAAGATCAAATATTTCTACCATAAAACTTCCCAAAGGCATTGTCTTTAAAAATTCTCTGAATGAATGAAAAAATATAGATATTTCATTTCTATAACGTTTCCAAGATTGCCATATACATAGCTAATCGAATTTGTTTTAAAAAATACCTTTCCATATAAGCGGAAAAATCTGGCGTTAACATCAGTTTTTTTTCAGCATCAAATAATGTAAACCAACTGACTAGGATAGTTTCAAATGCACCTAGAAACAAATTTTTCTATTAAAACATTCTAGTACAGGATGAAATGTATAATTATTACCATGTTTGAAGAGGCACACTTGATCATCTTGAGTTATTTCTTTAAAAAACGGATAAAACTTGAATGTTTTTAGTACAGTCATGTATTTTAATGCATGTTGCCAGTTAGCCCAAACATAAACAGGATCACAATTTAATTCTTCACTCTAAAAATATCAGTTTAGTTACTAAAGAAGAATTATATGTAGATATTAAGTTAAATTACCAGTGAATCGGCCCATATTGGTGGATTTTCCTCAATCTTCACTGCTATTTTCTCAAATGTACACTCACATTCTGTCAAATGTGCATTGATTATTATTTCAGCTATTTCATCAAGTTCATTTGCCTGCATTTCAGTCAAATATTTTTCTTGATACAATAGCATCGAAGATATTTTACGAACGATATCGTCGTGAATTCGAGAAGATTGTTGAACTCTTTTGTGATGTTTAACAAACAAGATATCAGGAAATTGAGTGGTGCATGATGATGAAGACGAGTTGGGCGTTTCGGTTTGTTTGTAAGGCGAGAGTGAGAGACTATTTGTTAAATTATTACCTGTCGTTGAACTAACAGAATCATGTCGAAATTGTAACAATGGGCTTTTAACTTCACTTTGTTTGACAGAAGCAGATATTTCACATGGCTCAACTCTGAATAAAATAGACGTATAACACGAACAGCAGATGAAATTCAAAATATTATTATGGAGCACTTACTTGAGATTTGACTGATTATCTATTGTTGATGGTATTTGATTTAACTGTTTGTTATTCGTCTCTAATTGATTGGGAGTAGTCACAAATCCGAGTTGTTGTGCTCGTTGTATTTCTTGTAGACGAACAAATGCAGCAACATGAGCGGTCATTTTGGGTGATTGTGGTTGTTTTTCACTTTTAATACCGTTTTCACCTCGTTGACGTTTTGGTCTTCGTCCAAGTCTGGATGCTAAAATGTAAATCAAAAATGAAACAGTTGGTGTATTACGATATAATCGAAATGTTTACCTTCTCTCGACATTCCCACTTCGAAACATTTTTTCAGTCGACAATATTGACAACTATTTCTACTAAATGGAGTTATTTCACATGCTAAGTTATTTGTACAACGATGAGACATTCCTTGAGTTATACAACGGCGAAAGAAACCCTACAACAAAGAAAGCATATGTATTTTTTTTCCAGTATAAGCTACAATAATAGATTAAAACTATGAGCTTTATAATCATAGTGTGTACATTTTTAAAGTAGCTATAGATCAATTCGTTTTCTATTAGATAAGAACTATAAGTGATAGTTAAGTACATACACAAGAAAAACAAGTGGCGAGAAATTATTTGCAATGCAAAAATATCGAATTTATTCACACTCTACAATCAGAATGAGACATCTTCTATGATCTTTGCAGTTTGAGAAATGCTTCAGAATCTTACATGGCCATAAGTAAATCAAACTTTTTTTAAAATTTCTTATTTTCTTCCTAACTGATATTCTTACACTCACGAGAATATTGGAGAAAAGTTCAGAGATGTTCTTTTTCTGCTCTTGTCAATTTTCTCTGTAATCGTTCAGAATGAGAATACTCTATATCCTGTAGTTGTGTATGAAAGTGAGAGTCAGAGTATTATTATTCCGTACAAAATTATTATAATAAGATAAAAATATGATCTCATAGTTGAAATTTTTAGAAATCATCTCAAATACTTTACAAGGATTAAATAGTGTTGTTGAATATATAAACGATAATGAGTTGTATTCAAGTATAAAAGAGGATTAATAATATTGATAGTGTACTAACCTTACAACCTTCGCACGAATCTACACCATAATGGAAACCAGATGCTTCATCACCGCAGACTTTGCATGGTACATGAATTGACAAACCATTGTTTCCTGTTTTTCCATTAGATTTAATAAAATCATTTCCATTACTAACAAAGGGTAATGCATTTACATTTGGAAATCCATCTTGGAAACATTTTGTATAATTTATTGGTTCACTTTTGATTGGATAATGTTCAACATTAAACGAATCACTACTAATTTTAGTCGGTGGTGAAGATTTAGAACGTGGATAATTTCGATCGATTGTCTGACTGTCAGGAATAGATAATTCTATGTGTTTCGGAGATGATGATAAATAATTTTTTGATAAGTCTGACGTAGAATAAGATAAAAATGATGAAGATGATGGTACATGGAAATTATTCGTGTTATTGTTATTGTAGTGATGAATAACTGTTGTAGGCACTTTTCCATGTTCTGAATTTCCCGATGTGGCAGCTATTTGATTACAAACATCAGCGATGTCAGGTGTAGACGAAGTTTTCGAATATGATTTCAGATAGGGATCGTCAAGTTTTGATGATGGTACTGAGTTTTGTTCGAGAAGATTAACAAAACGCTGTTTTGGTTTGTAAATTGTTGGTGATTTTGGTACATTTGTATAAGGGTTCGTATTTATTTCAAGCATTGGATCATAAAGTGTTGATTGCTGTTGATGATCTATGAGCATCGACTGACCTAAAATTTAAAAATAAAAATTATTAAATAAAATAACGTTATTTTATGCGAATAAGAAAAGTATAGACACAATATGTATTTTCTGTTGATTAAAGTAAAATATTTTTCGACTTACATCTGATTGCATGGTCATATTTAAAATTAAACTGGTAACTATTCGAGTGATATATTGAATAATTTGTTGTAACACAGTTCAATAATCATAGATCACTCAACTCAACTGATCATAGTGTGCATGCTTTTCTATACGTTTTTTCTTTTAACGAATATTCTTTTCGAATCATTCATTGGTTATCTCTACTTAACCTTGTCTATAGATTTTCATCTATTTTTTTTTCTCTCTCTCTCTCTCTCAGCGAGAGATTGAGTAATTAAATGAGGTCATATTGTTCAATTCAAACTTGAACTAATTACATAATTTTCCATTCAAAGTATAGAAAACACATTTGCTAGTCTACATGTTCGCCTCTTTCCTTCCGTATCATTAAAAGATCATATTTTATGATCACAAATAATAGTATATGGGTGTCAAGTCTTTACACACACATATACACACTATTGAATATTTAGAAAAAGAACGAAATGAGGGAAACGGTTGTGATGAATAACAAACTGTGTGTTCAACTATCGGTGATTACTCTTAGTAACAGATTTTATTATCAAGACTAGCCGACAAGTTTTTCAATGCAGAAATGGTTTATAGAACATGTTGTCGTACAACAACCATTATCTCTCTATATCCAGTTTTTTGGACTGATTTGATTAACGGTTTTTTTTAAGTCCATATCGTAACACTAACATTGTAGAGCAGATTTAAAATTCAAAAATGTTTTCAAGGTCAACAGTTGGAAATTCTGAATTTTTAAAGTATTAACTTACCCCAATGATTATTTTCTAACCACATGCTTTTTGTCAGTGTACCCTTCGTTCTAAATAATTAGTCCCCGCTTTGTATGATGAGTAAAACTCTAACTGTACACATTTTCAGTTCTCCTCTCGTCTTTGTCTCTTTCATTTATAATTGGCAAACAAGGAAAACAGTTTTTTTATTTATCTTATTGTTCTGTCCACCACCATTATTCTTTTTTTTCTTCTCTTCATTGGATTTTTTTCACAGTTCTCCCAGTGTCCACTACTAGTTGGTGACCTCGATTATGAATAATCTTCTATCCTATGTACTGTTTTTTAAATAATGATGAGGTCAAGTTAAGGTTGAACTATGAACAGAAGAAAGAGAGAATAGAACGAAAAAAAATAATTATTTAACAGCATTGATCGTGTGATATAGAAAGAGAAAAAGAAATGAGTAAAATAAGAATATATGTTTGTATAACAAGGCGGCTAGTCAGAGAAATGGACAATGACCTTATTTGAGAATGAACATCAAGGCCATCTCTATCTTTCCCATAATGTACATAATTATGTAAGTAAACTCACACATATATATATATACGAACTATAAAGATCGAACGTGATTAAATACAAACTATATATATATATATATTTGAGTTGAACTCTCGTAAAATATTTAATATGATGGATGTTCATTCTCAACTTTTCATAACTTCAGTATACGATCACATCTGCCTATAAATAGTTTTACAATTGATTAGATGAACAAAAAGACGTAAAAAATAGATGATTAAGATTAACTATGATTAAGATAAACTAAATTAACATAACATTGCGTCGTATACTTTAAAAACGTCAGTTGATCAGTTTGAAAGTATTATGCACTATTGAAACGATTGACTAAAACTGTTTTTAGTATAATCAAGTGTCTGTCTTTGATTTTCTTTGATTTTTGCTTTTTTTTGTTCTACTTCTACGTTTTCCATTTTTTGTTAAGTAAATGAAGAAAACAAGAGAAAATGATCACACCTAAGAAGCCGAAAATGCCGTTGATTGATGTTGTCATTGTACTCAATCAAGTTGTGTCAGAGAATTACAGAACTAAAAATTCTATAAAGTTCGTATTACTCATTAGTTACCCAATAGTTGTTTGAAGATTATTCGGCTCCAAAAAACGTTGTCTCATGTTTCTATAAGTTACTTTAATATCGTATGATAAAAAAACCAACGTATACGTATTGCACTTGGATAGGTTTTTGAGAGAAGATTCAAAATAGATAGATAAACTTTATGTGTCGCAGATGTGAATATTCAAGTGTAATCGAAATGATCGTTGTATTTTAAATTCATTTAGTTTTAGTTGAAACAGCGTCTTTTTTAATTGATAATAATACAAACAGTGATTTGTTCATAAAAATGGTAAACATAGTCTGTTCGAAAAACGAAAAAAGTAGTACACCAGGATCTCTTCGATATATAGGCATCGTACTCTATTTTCCTCAAAGAAGTAACAAAATAAATAAGAGAATCGATCAATTTATCTTTGACAGTGAAACAGAATTTATCAGCTTAGATAAGACATCTAATGAGTATAAATCATGTTGTTTTATGTTTTGTAACAATTCGTATGATCAGTTCTATGGTTAATACCGAATGTCAATAGTTTTGAATATCTAATATGATGTTCACTTTTATGCTTTGTAAGATAGTCAACATTGATCCAGATGAACGTTTTCTTCCCAGTGGACAATTCTGGCAGGTCATGCGATCATTTGATTTTTTCTTGATTCTACACAATATTTATTTTAAATGAAAAGGAAATGACTATGAATAAAAAAAATTTTCAGTCAGAATTGACTGAAGATGATCGTAATCTAATTTTCTAACTGCAAAACTTTCTTCCTAAATTTTTTGCATTATATATCATGATTTTCAGAAAATCGATTGTAAAATTCAGAACAAAAGACGCATCAATACAGTGTAGCATATCCCGAAGAAAATTTATGTTTGAACTTTGTTGGAAAATGGTCAGAAACTAAATACACACAAGACGTGTTTTGGAAAAATTTTGTTAGCGTAGAAAACAAGAATTTTCTTTAACATCTTAGGTTCAAACACCATCATTTTTGAAAGTTTAGGATAAATCGACGGATTTAACCGAAATAAATTATCTTGTAAAAAGTGGATGTTTTAAATGAGCACTGCGGCAAAATAAAGTATTATTTTTTTAACAACATAGTCGAATGGAAAAAAAGGCTGTTTTCTTCTACAAAAAGCGTATAGGCTATAAAATATAATATTTACTTGCGTCTTGAAATTCAAAAATTACATTTTTTTCATAATATTCTTTATCTTTTAAGTTTTATTCGACTAACAAACCGTCAAAAGATTAAAAAAGTTTATAGAGAAATAGAGCAACAAAAAACCGGCGCAGATCGACCAGTTCAAAAGTTTAACCGATGTGGTTCCAACTCCGATTTTAATTGAAAAAATGCAAACTTTGATTTTTCAGCTAAACGTTCTCTTCCTTTTGAAAACACATATTAATAGCAGAAAATGGTTCATTAATAAATTATTTTTTCTATTTTAATTGTTACATCTGCTCTGAAATATATATTCGTTACTATGTTCCGCAAAAACGATATATCATTTTGATCGTTATATCGTTGTGTAACATTAAATTCACATTAATGCATGTGAAAACGATGACCATAGGCGTATTCATTGCCGAAAAATAAGATGTGTATATTCTGATGTATCGTTAACGTTAGTTCTGTACAATCGCAAGGTCACAGAGATATTGTGTAAAAAAACTATGTAGCGCTGATCTAAGTTACAACTATATAATAATAATATGTAGCAAGAAATAATTTCATGTAAAAATGTCTGTTCGTTATAAGCAGTTTTCCCAAGTCACCTCCACTTGTTATTGGAATTGATTTGTAATTCAGTATTAGCTAGCTATACAATTATCAAAACAAAACAAAAAATCAAATTTAAGTGGCATCAATTTTTTGGCGACATATACACTACGTGAGATTTAAAAACTCTCCTTCAAAAGTTAGTTTGACCTAATAAATTTCAAAACCACTCAAAACCTTGTGTAAATCGTAGAATTGTCAATTTTCATATTGGGATAATTAGCAGACTAATGTGTGTCATCTAATTTAACATTTATTCTAAACAAAACTGCAATAGCAGACAGTTCAGCATACGATATTCTGAGCGCATTATTTGAAAGAACAGCAACTGTCTACTTCAAAATCACAGCAATATTTCGAAGAACATGGGCTTTCATTAAACCAAGTGACCATAAAAATGACTCCGCCATCAGCCGCAAATAGAACATATTCGCTTCACTATATTCTGAATGTTTTAGCTGATTCAGAATTGTTATAAGTGAGAGTATGAATTTTTTTATGTTTGGTTAAAGTCGCTTAATATCGTAAATGCTTTTCTAAAATGTTTTTTCTCTAGATTCTTAAACTTTTTCTGAAAACAAATATTGTCATTTAGAACGGTCGACGACATATGTTTCGAGTCATTTTTACGGTTACTTGGTCTGTAGAAAGGAAGTTAGGCAGTCACCCGCATCTCGAAAACACTGGCAGCTGGTGACTTCGGCTTTCTACAAAGCGAAAACTATTGAAGGAACATCCGAATGCACTGTATTTTGAAGTACATAAGGACAGCGCGCACATACATTGCAAAAACGTAAGATAGTAATCTCTGTACTCCGCTGTGTATATCATTTTAACCTTACGATACTTTTATTGAGATTTATATAGTGAATCAAAGTTCATGTATCTTAAATCGATTTTTCTCGCGTTCAGTCAAGTTCTCCACTCTTTAATGCTTTGTGTTATTGATTGCTACAAGAGTTTAGTTCTTAAGACCCCCCCTCCCCTCAGAAATGGTTATTTTCGGTCAAAAAATCGGTTTTGAGATAAGCACATGGAAAGATAGCCTGAAGTGTCTACTTCCAGAATCTGTATTGCTTTTGGTTACAAAAGTGGCTTGTCGGGGATGCTGAGCACGTTTTCTAAGAGTCTCGAAAAAACGGGTCTTCGAATAATGGTTTTTTCCTGGATACTTATGCAATTAAAATTTTTTTGAACACACAGCTTTGTAAAGCAAACGTTTCTGATCAAAATAAGACCTCGCACAACTCTGTATGACCTTGCATCAAAAAGTTACAGGCATTTCCTAGAAGTCCTAAAATCGAGTATTTCATACAGCGTTTAATACAGCATTTTCACTATATAAGAGCTACACCTGAAGTGAGTCCCAAGATTTTTAATAGCGGCTTGTCATAGCGAGTTCATTCTTTTTTTGTTTAAAAGAGGAAAAGAAACTACATCGAGTGATCCGCATGGATTTTGAATTAGGTCTTAGCTTTTTGGCAAACTGAGGACTTTTAAAAAAGCCAGTTTCGGGTTTCGGAGGTTGTTGGTTGCCTGGAAAACCAATAAAGGCTTAACTGAAAAATCGGCGCTAGTCAGTCGATGTAGTTACGTGTATAGTTTAAAATAAAACAAACCCGAACTCTCCAGCTTGAAGTATCTTAAAAAAATCGAGGGGGGGGGGGGGGGGGGGAAAAGTGGTTTGGCGGGGAAAAAATTTTTGGAGTGGTTNCCCCCCCCCCCCCCCCCCCCCCCCCCCCCCCCCCCCCCCCCCCCCGCCCCCCCCCCCCTTAAACTAGTTATCACTTCAAAAATATTTTGCAATGGTAATGACTCACGCTTAATGACTCACGCTTGCATTTGCTAACAAATATAGAAAATTAATTGATAAAATTTGATAAAAAATCCATCAACACTTCGCATCATCTTACCTACTACAGAATTCACCCGTACCGAAAGTTCATGTGCGATCTTTCAGATAATGAAATCTATTAACTTTATTGTACACTGTCATCCAAAAGTCCAACGTTTAAGTATGTTACGTCGTTCGGTTCAAATAAATAAATAAAAGTTATGCTATAGAATTAGAAGTTGGTAGGTAACAGTCATGCGTATTCACAGTAGACGTTAAAACTGTACTGTACCTATAGTAGGAAACAGTATCGTTTTTAGCTCGCTTTCTCCTGTCATATTACCAAGAGTATTTTTATTCGCGATCCCATGTAAAGTCATTGCGTCTGAAAAGACGCGTCTAAACGCGTTTTTTTCAGAAAAAAATGGTCAGACGCGTCTGAATGCGTCGTACCGAGATGCGTTTAGACGCGTCTAGCACTTTTTATTAAAAAAAACGCGTCTTAACGCGCTTTACCAAAAGAAGTCTCCAAGACGCGTCTGAACGCGCCGTACCGTGACGCGCTTAGACGCGTCTGGGATTGAAAAATATTTACATGGAATAATGGTGTAAAGAAAAGGAGAAAGGATATATTCGAAGATCCAGATATAGCTAGAGAGACACGAAAAACAGGGTGCAACAATTCATACAGATTAAACCTAAAAATGTTCATCCATATCCACATATTTTTAAACCTTCAGTTCTTGAATTTCAGACAAGGATAAATACTCAGAAACTAATTTTAACAAGTGTTCGTGAAAATTCGTTGATTGTAGAGTTTTACGCTTAACTTTTGCGTCTGATCGCTCAAAACCTTTATAGAAAATCATTAAAAAATTGCTGGCTAAATTTTCTGCCTCCGCTTTATACAATAATACTGATATTATAAAAACCACATTCAAATTCTCTGCGGATTATCGAAGTCATTACATACAACTTTCCTTTTCACCAAATTATGACAGACGACACATTTATTTCTATACCAACAAAAATAAAGAGGATGAGGGCAGCATTTGATTGGACAAAAGTTAATAGTCATTGATAACACGAGTGACTCATTTATTTTACATTTTAACTGGGTTTGTGCTTTATATTATTATTTTACGTGAACGGTTGATATGAGAGACGTGTTGGTTAGTGACGGCGCAAAGAGGTAGGAACAGAGGTTATAGTGCCAAAAGTGAAAGTAAATTTTTCGTATTTTTGGCTAAAATCAGAGCAAGTTTCCTCCAAAATTTTTGAAAGTAGAAAGCTGTACTCTTTCACACACGGTTACGCTACCGCAGTGGTTAAACTACTCTAGAAATAAAAGTTAATAAGCTACTACTAGTCGTACTTTTTTCCTAATGAAATTTTACATTCACGCTTAGCTTATCTACATTCTCAATCAACAGTCGTAAAAAAAATGCTGCGGGACTCGTGAGACGGACTCTCGATAGAGTTTTTAACTTTAGCGACACTCTTTTGCGTATTATCAGACTTTTTCTCATTAGCGGTATGGTGATATTTAATTAAGATTGTCTTCATGTGCAGGAGAAGGCGTTACGTTGTTTGATTACTTTATTGTTGTTGTTATTTTTTGTTAATTTATCCTGAAATATCTGTACGTTTAAGGTACAATAAGTATTTTTGTTCTTTACATTCACGTGTAAACAAGCAGGTATAAATACGAGTTGTTTATCTACTACTGTAATTGCTAATTGTTCTTTATCTACTCTGCCGTCAGTTTTTAATCTTTATTTATTTTCTGTATCTAGAAGCTTTTTACCGTTTACGACACTAGAGTTATATTTCATATAAACAGACGTATATTTCAATAAATTCTTCAGATGTGTACAGTTACGGCAACAGATGATTGCTCTAATGATAAATATATGGAATCATTTAAACTTTATCGTCGTTTATCACCAATCAATTGTTTAGATCTATCCTATTCACCATCAACTCATCAGGAATATTTTCAGCGTGTCATTTCACCAACATCAACTGAGATCATTGACAATCTTACATGTACAAATCTTGGTTTAATACCATTGAATCAATGGGAAATGTATCATTGTACTCATTGTCCAACAGATGGACTTTATATTATTTCAAATCCATTTACACAAGAGGGTCAACAACAATGGATTAAAAAATGTTTAAATGATTATCCAACAAATCAAAAGTATCTATCAAATTTGCCAGAACATGTTGGTTAGTTTTATATTTTTCTCAAATAGAATATTTTTCACCTTCATTCTTTCTGCATAAATCTCTATTGAACAATATGTGTGTTAAAAAATACCGTACAGAATCATATTAGCTCGATTCTTGTTCAAGAAAATTAAAATTTTCTGATAAATTTAATCTTCAGTGAGCGTAGTTATTGAGAGTATTTTTTCAAAAAAATCTTTTATGTTTTTTATTTACGTATAGTCTCATACATTCAATAGAGAATTTTATAGCATATCTTTGCGCCATAAAACGAAATTCTATTATGGAATTCTTTTGTTAACTAATGAAATTATTTTCCACAACGTACTAGATCGTTCTCCATTGTTCAACGATAAATTGAGATGGCTCACTCTGGGCTATCATTATGATTGGACACAAAAAACATACTCTAAACAAAATTATACTCCTCTACCAGAAGATTTAGAATTATTATCAAAAATAATTATTCAAAAATTCAATCCAACTGAAAAATATTATTATCCAGAAGCTGTTATTGTTAATTATTATCATTTAAATTCAACATTATGTGGACATACTGATCATAGTGAAGAAAATCTTGATAGACCTTTAATTTCAATTAGTTTTGGAAATATTGGAATATTTTTAATTGGTGGTCAAGATAAATCCATTGAACCGATACCAATGAGACTCAATAGTGGAGATATAGTTATTATGACAAAACAAACTCGATTAGCTTATCATGGCATTCCAAAAATTATTGAAGATAATTCATTATCTAAAATATTAAAGAATAGTGATGATGAAAAATGGAGTCAATATTGGAATTATATTTCAAAAAATAGAATTAATATTAACATTAGACAAGTCTATTAAATATTTTCAATCTCTTAACATTTACTATAACATTATTTTCACTATTTTTAATTGTTATTTATTTTTATGTTTTTTTGTTATTAACTTACAGTTTATACTTTTTATTTTAGAAAAAAACATTGAACAGTTAAAATACATTTTCTTATGTATTTAAGAATTGAGTTTTCTTCATCTGAATTTTCTTGAAAATCTTTTTATTTGTGACAGAAAAAGTTGAAAACCCAAAAAAAAGGTTAACGGTACGCTTGAACTAAGAATTTTAATATGAATCTCTTTCTTTTCACAATTTATGCCAAGTACTTGTCTAGTGTTGTTTTTTCATTTTTTTGAGACAAATTGTTATGAATTTTAAAATATTTTAAAATCTCCATTTTTATCAAATATTTGCGCGTTATGATAAACTATGTTTTTCAATATTTTCTTCTTAAACTGAAGAAGGAACAAACTTGAGTGTGCTCATAAGAAAAGTGATCGACTATATGCCAAAATTTTGTTGGATTTTTAAGTGAGAGAGAGAGAGAGAAAAAAAACTTTTACTGGCCACTATTTGCCGTGTGTATTTTTTGATGATCAATGGTCATTATCATCTTTTTAAAATTCAAAATACCTGTCATTGGCTTTTGGTAATCTTTAATTCAAAGTATGGGAATATTTTCGTCTTTTTTTTTGTTTTAATCTGGAATTTAACTAAGTGACAATCGATAGAAGAAAAGTGGCGATAGAAAAAAAAGAGTACATAAAGAATGCATGGTATTTAACCGATGATTTTTTTTTGCCTTTTTCTTTTATTATGTCACGCGTTTTTGCAATAGCTGAGAGAGCGAGAGAGAGAGAGAGAGAGAGAGAGAGAGAGAGAGAGAGAGAGGAAAAGAAGAAATCATTTTTTTGGAATACTGAATGAAGTGTCTAAAATAGTATATTTATTTGTCCATAGTAGAAAGAATGAATGGGTGGTAAGTAAGGAATTGTTGGTACACGATACCTAAACTCATGTAGTACCGATGTCAAAAGTGCATAAACCTTCGGTATCGATATAGAAAATATCGAATTTGTTTTTTTATTACTAAAATAAATGATTTCCAGAATTTGACAAAAATTTTTGTTTCCCATTCTCTTATATTACGCTATATTATTATCAACTGTGAAGAAAATTCTATGTAGAAAATTAAAAAAAAAAAATTAGAATTATTTAAAATATTTGTTAAAGAACAGATAACGCACTGTTTGACATTAAAGTACCGACAATTCCTTAATGTTAAGTTAATAAAACGAAAACTCTACCTTTTTCTTCATAGGATCATATAAACACATATTTTCAATATTAAAATCGTTGATATATATTTAAATGAGATTTTATCATACGCTATTTTTTTTAAGGTAAATACAGTTAAATGTTAAACGGTATTTCTATTCAGAAATCGTGTTTAGTATATGTGTAAAAACTCTATTTGTTTTATTAATATTTGTCTTACATCCAGGTGACACTTATTTTTCTTCTTAATCTTTTTGCACTTAGTATCTACATAAGAAGAATTTAACGAAAAATATTTGAACCTGAATGCCCAAGGCTAATCTAATTTGATTGGAGAAATAATCTACATAAAAAAAAAAAATATATATATATAGATATTTGTTAGATCAAAACTGATCAATCACTGTCATATTTTAGTTATATACCAGAGACCAATGTGGATCAAAATTATCGTACTCGAATAGATTCGAGTTTTTTTTTTTGTATCCCATATTGAAAACTTGCAAAAATCTCTCTTATTTAAAATTAGAGTTTAAATTAGTTTTAAAAAAAATAAAATTTTCTGAAAATTTATGCAGAGATTGTATACTACTATTATAAAATTTATTTATAAATTTATTTCTATACTTTTTCTAAAAAGAAACAACGGGGTTGTTCTCTTACAAGAGTTTAATTAAGTCAAAAATATATATTCTTTTAAAAGATATATTAAGTTCATGAACAAGTATCAATAGAAGTTATTTTAATCCTGATGTAGAGACATCTTTCGAGTATTACTCTACAATGTTGTCTCATAAAATGAGTACATTCCTCAAAGTACATATTTTTCTCTCGGTAACATCGTTATTTATCAAAAATCATGACAAAAGTTCATGTGTATCCTGTGAATACGTAAATAAGAAAAACGAGTTTATGTGTATGTATACGTGCTGTCATAAACTATCTCTAATGACGTATTTTAATTATAGAGTATCGTTTCTTGCTTTGATTTTTGATTCTTCTCTTTTTGTGTGTGTGTGTGTGTGTGATATATATATGGATATATACGTACCATGAAAAAAAAAAAAAGGCAAAGAAATTCTTAACATTCCATCATTCAGAAAAAAACACAAAAAAAAACAAAATCATTGTTCTTGATTATATTTTGAAAATTATCTAAATAAATAGCTGTGAGTAATACATATACCGTCTTCTTTGACATTTCAACAGTCGTCATTTTGTTATAGAACTTCTTTGTATATTGGTGCTGAGAGCTAAAAATACAATTGCCTATGCAATTAGTTCTTCAAAGTGAAGTTTATATATGAGAAGCGTCTTCTACAGAGAAACAAAAAATACTTTTAGATTTCCATGTATTACTGAGAGAAAATGTTGTATTTTTTTTCCAAATTAGAAATTTTTTTCTTACTCCTGACTAATGTGGTAAACTCCAATAGTTTTTTCTGTACAGTTTTCAACATAACAGAAGCTACTAATTATGCATGTGATTAAGTTAGATCAAATAATAAACGAATCATTGCACATTTTCCTGACAATTAGATTATAAACTAAAATTCTTGTTCTAAAATTGTTTTACCACATTTGTGTCTGTCATACGTCTTCTCTATATTATTTTTTGTACAGATGTAAGTCATCGAAATACCTGCAATGAAAAAAAAAAAAATGATTTATGACAGAAAAACTTTTTTTTGCGCATTTTCTTTTTCGTTCCTGACAATTTTTCTATTTTGATGAAAGAACCGTACAGGATAGAAGAAAACGCAACACAAAGTAAAGGTTTTTTAATATAAATATCTTTACGTAATATTCAACAATAACAGAAAAACATATATTAAGGGAAGAAAACGGACTACATGTTATTCGGTGTGTATGTATTCTAGTCTCATCTTGAATTCGTACAAATGTGTTACCGATTGTCTGTTGACCTTCATACATGAAAAGATTAAGAAAGTGAGAAACTACTATTCGCGTAACTAAATACTAATTAACTTTACATGAAAGAAATTTTAAGTTTTTCCTAAAACAAAAAGAAAAGTAATATTTGTTTATTCATCCGGAACACAGAAAATCTATCTTCCTGTTTGATACTTTCTAATTAAAATAGACAAACCGCAAAATAATTAGGATGCTACGTTTACTACAGTGATTGATCATGTTCTCAATGATACTTCCTTAACTCACTCAATTTTCTTTGAAATAGATAATAACTGATCGTATACAATGTTTACTGTTCACCTTGATAATTATTAAAACTTTAATCATCAATAGAGGGTAATAATTAATGTAAAAGAACTATCTTATACTGAAAGATATTATTCTTACGTGTTTTGTTCTCATATTCATTCCAATCATTGTCATAACAAAAAAAAAAAAAAAAACTTTAAATAAGAATTTTCTACATTGAGAAATAGAACTATTTTTTTTTTTCCTCTAAACTTTGAAATACTCACAAGCCTACGGAAATACATACATCATCAAAAGAATGCCTAACACATGTTTGTCTTTTATTTGTTCTTTTAAAAAAGTTCTTCAGAGAAAATTATCATTTTAATATTTCGATTTCAGATAGTTGTTGTTCTCTCATTTTCTTTTTTTTTAATGCCTGTATTTCAATTAAAGAAGAAAAATGAAGAATACTGTTGTAAAATCTATACAATGGATGCTGAGTTACAATTTAATATCGAAGTAGGCTTTATGCTAAAACGTGTGCACGAATATATTTGTTTGTTGTTCATTTTGTTTAGGTATCGACAAAAGGGCGGGATATATTTAACTTAGTTTGTCAAACAATTGGTCTAAGAGAACATTGGTATTTTGGATTAAAATATTTGGACAAATCGAATGAATGGACATGGCTCACTATGAATAAAACAGTAAGTAATAATTTATCTGATTTCTTCAATAATATAGCCACCATTTAGTTCAAAATTTAAAATGTAGGACGTAAAAAAATAAGAAATATCAACAGTAACGAAGTCGATAACAAAATGTTTACATTACTCTAACTTTTTTTAAAGTCAGTCGGTGATTAGAGGTGGAATTTTTTTTAAATTTCTTAAAATTCATAAGTTGTTCAGAAAAATTGTTTAGTTTTGATCAAAGCTATTGAAATTTTCAAAAGATTTTCTACGATAGTTTTTTTCTTTTCCATCTGATGGACTGCGACATTTTTTTCAACACTTTTGTATTCTATCGTATTTAAATTCATTTTTCAGAAAACGGTAATAAAACCTGATGGTTTGATTTTTAGTTTTGGACGAAAGACTGACTGTCAACGAATAACTACGACTTGTTACCTTTTTTTCCTCGCTCGCTAGTATCAGAAGTAAAAAAGAATTGTCCCTCATATCGTATCCACAGACGTTTTACTTAATTATAGAAAAGCTATTATAGAAAAGTTTCTGATGACAGAAAAAATACACCGAACTAGATTAGTTATTTTAAACAATCTTGTAAATCACCTAGTAAAACGTTTTTTATATCTCTCAGAAATGCTCAGATCGTCTCTTGAAAAGCTTGACAGGAAACTAAAAACTTAGGATCTTATCAATGTTATTCAAATTTTTATTTATTATTAAAAATTCTTTGTTTCTTTTATTTGCAGATTTTATCTCAACCTGTTCAGATTCAACAGCAACAACAGCCCACATTTTTATCAAAACAAACCCAACAATCTCACCCATCTCCTTCCGCTGTGAGTCACAATGATCATTCAATTTTTACAACCTTACCACTAACAAAATTACCAACTCATCCAGATTCTCTGGGTTTAACAACAAACATTTTACCACAACAACAAAAACAACAAACATCAACACTAACTAAGAAGAAAACTTCAACATTAATCTCATTTCCATCTCCTTCAACATCATCTACACAACATTTAATAGGTTCAAGACCACTTCCGCCGTGTCAATCAAATTCAACTCTTTCTCTATGCTCAACTTTATCGAATAACACAACAAATACGACACCGACTGTCGTTAGAGGAACACTTGAATTATATTTTGTTGTTAAATATTATACAGAAGATATTACGAATGAACTAATTCAAGACATTACACGACACTTGTTTTATTTACAGGTTAAACACGATATTCTTAATATGGATATTTATACTCCGCCCGATACTGCGGCACATTTAGCCTCATTATCTTTACAAGCAAAAGTACGTGTATAGCACTTTAATGGCTACGTGTTTAGATAGAAGCAAATATAATTTCATTTGTAAAAAAAACAAAAGCAAATGTAGTCAAGATGGTTTCGTTGAGATGATACAATTCGTATAAATTTATAGTTTTCAATTTTTTTTTCTCTGTTTTAGTTTGGTGATTATGAGGGTGTATCTACATATTCATCTAATGAGAATGTATCTTCAACTTCTAAATCGAATGATGTTAGTGTTGTATTAGAAGAAGAAGCTCTATTACCCCCGAGTTGTTTTCAAAAAATAGAATTATCTAAACATGATTGGTTCGAGAGAATTGTATCATTGTGGAAAAATCATCAGGGTTTAACGCGGTATGATTTACCTATCTAATTTTAAAAGTCATTATGATGTTTTTATATATCTTACTATTTTAGAGAAGAAGCTGAATGTCAATATTTGAAACATGCCCAAGATTTAGATATGTTTGGTTTATCATTTTTTGAAATTAGTAAAATCCAGAATAAGAAGGAGTCCGATCTATGGTTAGGTATTGATTCATTGGGTATTCGATTTTATAAAAAAAATAAATTAAGACCAGATGTTTTTTTCTCATGGTCCGATATTAAATATGTCACAGCGAATGATAAAAAAGTAAGAATTTAACTAAACGTAAACAACTTTTAAAAAATTACATTTGATCAACTTGAAATAATGAAAATGTTAGACTTTATAAGAATAAATTTTTAAAAATTTTGATAATTCTTTAGGTAATTTTGAATATGGTGGGTGATAAACATTCTAATTTTGCATTTTTTTCAAACAAATCGTCTGTTAGTAAAGAGGTAAGATTGTACATTAAAATTATGAAAAATCAAGCAATGTTTTGTTGCTTTTTAGATATTGGATTTGGCTAATGGTAATCATGAACTGTACATGAGACGTCGTCAAGATCAACCTATTGAGATCCAACAAATGAAATATTTTGAACAACAACAACAAAAAGTAAGCAGTTTTTGAGTAAAATTGTAATGTTTAAATTGAGTTCGATTGACTAATAAAAAATGATGTGGAATAGTTCTTAGTACTTGACACCTAAAATATAGATTGTATGAAATATTTTAGGAAAAATTGAAAACGTTTACACGTGAACGAGAATTGCGTTTGGCAGCTGAAAAAAAACGTCAAGAAGTTGAAAGACAATTTATAGATTATCAAAAACAAATGAAACAAACGCAAGACACACTAGTGAGTATTCTCCATGTCTCTATATCTGGACAGCAATAGCTTGATGGTTATATTGATCGTTACGTACTTCAAAGGTACTACGTTCGAACTTCGGCACCATCAAGCCGTGTGATAATCTTCACCATGTTTATTATGTCTTGGTCTCTCTGATAGCGTATTTACTACATAGTGATGCAGAAGGAAGTTCTCTTGGTTACTTTTCGTGGATTGGTGGGAAGCTAGTGCGTAGTTAGTTAAAGAACTTCCTCAAACTAGTCTCTTGTCTGAAGCTGCAGTTGCTGACGAGTAACGATATAGATGACGATGTTAGACGCTTGTTAACTGTAACGAAGATATGGGACTATTGAATTCGAAATTATTGCTACTATCTAGTCTTTCATTGATCGATCATGACCAAAAAGCTATAATATATAGAGCCGTCACACATATCAATAAAACAAAAAGATTCTTATAAACATGTTTTATTCATACAGTTTATGTCTTTAGAGCCAAATGACCTCTATCTTTTAAATCTTTAGTTACGATATCAAGAAGCCGCTGAATTATTAGCTCGTAAAGCACAAATTAGTGGTGAAGAAGCTCGATTACAAGCAGAGAAAGCATTAGAGATTGAATCTGAATTAGAAAGATGTAAATTCGAAATATCAAGGGTAAATAGTAAAACTATTGTCGATTAATGTACATACTGAATGGATAATATGTTGTTAGAATGAAGAGGAAAAATTATTATTTGCTCGTCAAATAAATGAATGTGAACAAGTTATTTCTACATTGGTCAACGATTCTGTTAAAAAGTAAGTTTATAATCAATATTTTCTCAAATATTTCATTTCGTAATAATTTACCTTGTGCAGTAATACTTATGTTCCATGTCGTTGTGCGGAATATTATCTTCTGTCAACAACAATTGAGCAAGGGTATGATAAGCAGTTAATGCAATGCCACTAATAACGTCAAAGCTACACAGGGAATCGGTGCATTGGACTAATTCTAAATAAATATTAACTTTATTCATCATACAAGCAGAGATACAGAATATACCCGTTTGCTTCAACGGCTATTGAGAGAACATTTTGAATTCGGAGAAATTGTTCAGATAAAACTTTAAAAAAACGGCATTTTTGCTGAAATATAATTGCAATAGAAAATATGCTGACATGATGAAATTTTTTCAAAATTTTTCGTTGAAGAAAGTTTTTCACTAATATATTCTGCACCTCTGTACAACCGAGACGTTTGTAAAGCCTTTCAAATTGTTTTCATGCACAAGAACCGTGCACATGTGCTGGACTTTATTATTTGAGAAGCATACCGCTTTATTTTTTCCGTTTAAAAAATTCTTTCTCTTATCAAAATAATTTTACTTATTATGCATTTTTAGTCGAAAAGAAGCTGAAGAATTAAAACATGAAGTGAGTAAATGGCGTATAGCTGAACAAGCAGCACGTGAAAAATTAATTCAAGTAACACAATTAAATCAAACAATTGCTGCTAGTCAAGCATCTCAATCTGCCCAACATACAGCAACAGTGAATCAGAATCATTTAAGAACACATCAGACAACATTGCCTCCTCCCGTATGACATACATACCATATTCTATTATGTCAATTTTTCTTAGTTCGTCATATATTTTAGCAGTATCGTCCACCAATGGATCAGACCACATCAAAACAAACAGATTCTAGTCCAGCTGATGAGCGGTTAGGCCTCTATGATGTAGAGTATTGAGAAAAAAGCTAAATGTGTTTATTGATTTGCTTAGTGCTTATTTGGTTGATAAACAAAACAAACAACATCTTATTCAACAACAATTATTGGATCTAAAAAATGTGATTCAACAACGTAAAATTGAAGATAAACAGTCGCCGTTAGATAAAGCGTATGAAGAAAATTTAGCTTATGGTGATAACAAATATTCAACAATCCAGAAAGTATGTAAAATAATGAATAATCATCACTTTTATCAGAAGACTGAATAATTGATAAAAAATTTTCATCATTATTCAAAAATCTGTTAACGTTGATAAAAATGAACTAATTAAAGTGCTCTTTTTCTCTTTTCAGGCAAGATCTGGTACAGCGTCAAAACGAATGGCGATGCTACAAGATTTATAAAATAATTTTATTCTATTCAACATCAATTAACAGTAATTTTTTACAATGTATGCGTATAACCATCTTTTATAGGTACTTTTTTTTGTTGTTTGCTCTTTTCGTATTTTTCTTTTGCATATTTTTTATTTCTAATGTAAAGAACATACATATCATTATAGAAAACTGTATAAGAAACTGTGTGTATAAAATGAAATGTATTAAATACATTTATCTTTTCTCAAAGGATAAATGTAGTCAATGGAGAAATACGAAAAATTCATATTATTTTTTATATAAGAAATAAAATTTAGGCTGGAATGAATGAAATTATATGTGACATGATTTCATTCCAGTTATACTCATGTTTTTCTTGTCTCTTTGGTAAAAAGATCGAATTTCTAAATGAATATATTTAATATACATTTAAGAATCATTATTCCACTTCAGCCCCGATTTTGTCACCATTTTATCTAATTTTTGTATTTCAGTTTTATCCTGGTGTCTTAAACATAATTATTAAATTACTCATATTACCAGAATAATCAATTTTCTATATTCAAGAATATCTAGTGGCATAGTTAGACGATAGTATAATGATATTTTGTGCGAATTTTTCTGATGGTCAAGATGGTATTGCTATTGAATAAAATTATTCTTAACTGATGTATTATGTACATAACTAGAATAATTTTGTTTTTACAAAAATATAACGAATGTCATAAATATCAAACTGCTAATAGTGATGTTAATTATATCACTAATGGAGAATCCATGTGCTTTTTTTAGTTGGTAATGAATTAAGTTGTTAGAGGGGTCTTTATTTCCTCACTGAGTGCAATTGTAGTTCTATTTGAACAGCTGCTCTTAGAATAGGAATCTAGAATAATAATAAAAATATCTTGAGTTCAACGAACAATTCTTCTACGCATTTTGATACTGCCGTGCCCTCCTACGTAATGTCGTCGTCACAAGAATAGGCGTGATGAAATCATACTTTAACTAAAAACAGATACACGCCTTAACAGTTGTCTGAGTACACAATGTATTGTTTGATAATAACGGAGTCCATTTAAACTGAGTTATAGTTACAGTTCCTAGTAATGTTATTTACATACAAAGTGTTTATACTTGATAGAGATTATTGAACAGCCAATATCAAACACTGATTACAGATTGAATTCGCGTCAACAAAAGAGAATAGATTTTATCCAGTTTGATTTGCATTCTCTGTATAATAAACTATAAATGTGTTAAGTGTTGGATGAAACAAATCCCACTAGTCTGAAGACTAAGTGAAGCTAAATGACGGTCATTTAATAAGAACGGATAGTTTTAGCGAATTGGATGTGCAGCAGAAAGAGCATCGACAAATACAAGTATACAAATAAGTACTTTCACTGTGTACTTGTACTTTTAAATAAGTTGCAAGTACTTCAAGTACTTTTTTATCTTTTAGTTCTCATTCACTACTATTTTATTCTTGTTCTTCTATAATATGATGGTAGTAAGTGATAAAGAATCGTGTAGAACTGTCTGGATTATTCCTTAAGCTTCTACTATGATTCTCAATATCAGGTAGAAATACATAGAAATATGGAGGAAACAAAGTATCCGAAGCATTTGAAATATACTTAAAGTACAAGTATTAGTGCTTTGTACTTAAAAAGTACAAAAAGTACAAGTATCCATACTCTGATGTGTAGGATATTTAGAAAGAATAACCTATATTTATTCGTTTCTTTGTTTTGAATGTTAATCGTGCTTTCATATATGAATAATCTTCTAGCTTGTTAGAATTAGTGCATGCGAATTACTTACTGTTCCTAATCGAGTACGATTGACTGGACTCGCGGATATTGTTGACACGTGCTATGTTGTCACTAAACTGGCGGACAAAAGTTTAAGACCACTTTTATTTCTAGATTTTCTTGTGAACAGAAGTAGTAGAAGATATCCGACTAAGATTTGTGTAGAGAGCACTTTGGAGTAACTAGACACATAATAAAAAGATTTTAATCTAAATTTAACCTAATTCAAAAAATTAACTTTTAAAAATTTAAGAAGGCTAAAATTTTGAAATTTTTTTAATTAATTTTAAAAATTAGTTAAAAGTCATTTTTGACCATTTAGCAAGATAAAGGAAACTTTTCTTACCAAAATGAGACATTTCAGAGATCTCTGCGACCGTTTTTGACCGAGTTATGACATTTCACGAGTTATGACGCACCGGACAGAAAAAACCAGCAAATTGGCTAAAAGAAAGTGTTTATAGTGCAAACAAAGACGTTGATGCTTTGCGGGGAAACTTCATAACTCGATCAAAAACGGTCGCAGAAATCTCTAGAATGTCTCATTTTGATAAGAAAAGTTTCCTTTATCTCGCTAAATGATCAAAAATGACTTTTAACTAATTTTTAAAGTTAATTAAAAAAATTTCAAAATTTTAGTCCTAAATTTTTAAAAGTTAATTTTTTTAATTAGGTTAAATTTAGATTAAAATCTTTTTATTATGTGTCTAGTTACTCCAAAGTGCTCTCTGCAAATTGTTAGAATTTCTAGCAAGACAAGAAGTCTGAGAAATTTACGCTATTTCTCGAAGAGAATATTTTATAGAAACATTCTTCACGATTCCTCCTCACACTGAGTATTTTTGGTATAGTAAATGTTCATAAAAATTTTTGCGCATCAATATTTTTTAGTAGGTGATTATCATTCTCAAGTCATTTCTTAAAAAAATTCTCATAATCATGTTCAATTACTCAGAAAAATTGATGAAAATCATCGATTAATTACCGTTTATCACATGATAAATAGACGATTTTGTTGCCATACGTACATCCTATTTTAGTGATTTTTAGTTTTGTTTATTGAACGAATTAAAGAACTAGCGGTAGATACAAACAAATGAATGGTCGTAATAAATGATGTAATCAATCTGTTTAACAATGAACTGACATTAGAATGTTAAACATCAATTCTGATAATTTCTGGAATTATGGAGCAATTCATGTAATTCCTAGCAAAATTTTGACAATTCTCAGTACCACTGTGCTCTTCTATTTAATGAAAACTAGTACTTACTTATTTTGTAATTCAAGTACAAAATATTTACTTCGAGGAATTTCTCGTATTTTTCATCCTGTGAGAAATTCTAACAATTTACGCTAATTCTATATATCACAATTGTTTTTGGTATATATCATGTTTTGTCGTATATATCATTTTTGGAAATGGAAGATGTTCACAATTTATAAATGAAATAATGATAAATATTGATATTATGAATCAACATGAGAATATATTGCGTGTGTGAATCTTTTAAGTTCTGTTTCTGCTTCTAAACGTTGCTTTATTTCTTCAAATCCGTGATTATGAAAATGTCTTTTCATCAGGAATAATCAATTGAAAATCTAGATTTTTTCATCGTTCAACAATTTTATTTAACGTCTGTTCAACACTTATTGTACATTATGTATAAGATGAAGCTCAAACTTGGTCTTTTGGAAAATTGTTTTTCTAACATTTATTCCTTGAAAATTGTTAAACAATTGATCGGAATTATAATACAGGATTATATTGACAGAAAAACTTTCTATTTCATCTGTAAAGCGAAGTTCGACAGTTCGAACAAATATTAATTTATATAAAATTGATTCAAAATGACAAATAAAAGAATAAATACAAAAAAGCAACAAATTTAACATATAATTAAATTAAATTAACTAAAATTTAGCGAATATAAGCGAAAATAATCTCATAAACTATTTAAATCAAATTCGATAGTTGGTAATGATGATTTGAGATTATTTTTATAAACATATAGTTTCGCTGCTAATAAATCAAAATGTGCTGTACAGAGAGTGGCTACTCCGTCTACACTATCTTGTTTTCGATAAATCGGATAGTCTTTATTCTCGTCATCACCTAATAACTGTTTTGCTTCATTGACTGTTCGTATCTCGCCAAATTGTTGTCCTCTTAATTCTCGATCCTTACTCGATTGCAACGGCGATTGTTCGTCCAATTGAATTCTTACATAATGATTAAAATGTTCATAATAGTTCAAAGAATAAGATTCACCTGATTCTATCGAATCTTTTTGTTCTTCATTTATAATAAAATGTTTGGAATATAAATTACCTTCTAAAATAATCCAAAAATGCATATATGATTTAATTTAGAATATAAAATAATACAAATTTTGAATACTAGCGTGTAGTAGACATTTTTAGCTTAGCAGACAGACATTTAAGTTTTTTGGTACAAAACGATTATATTTCGTTTAGTTTGACTTCCCATATCGTGGAAATATCTAATCCAGCGAAAACGCGAGAATTTCGAAAAAAAGCTCTTTCTCTCAAATCGGTTGAAAGAACTCTTTCCT